CAGGCATAAGTGCATAGCTTTTTTAATGTTGCCAAGACTGGACTGGGCATACTCAGATATGTTAAAGATACGTCACACCAGAGTCTCAAGATGTGGTTACAGTTCACAAAGATGAGCGCTGGATAACTCAAGTTCTGCTCAATTGCTTGCTAACAAACTAGACATGGCCATCTAACCCTGAGTAAGCACTTAGTAACTAAAATCTGGGTTGTTGCAGTTAATGCTAACTTAGTACAACCACAGTAACTGAGAATTTCTGGCATCACCAGGCTTAGGTAGCAGTTAGGTTGGAAGATTTGGGAACCGGTGCATTCAACATGGATGTTTAACTGCCCTCACTAGTCACTTTAGGTTCTTAATACTTTTGTGGATCTGTCCCTGTAAGTCAGGTGTTAGCCTGGACATTCACGCTAGATTCGGAAGTTTTGCCTCAATCCTGGGAGCGTTCATTTAATTTCCTAGTGAACTTGTGATGGACTCCTGCTGTAGCTCCTAATCTAGGATGGCCAAATTTACACACAGGATGGAGGGAAATAATACTGGAGCAGATAAGCTCCTCCATTTCCTGATGTATAATATACAGAACAGAAAGTAAGCAAAATTCAAGGCTCAAAGCAATTCCAGAGAGAGGGGTTTGTGTCGCTGTAAAATGTAAATAAATAATGCTTGTTTACAATCCTTCAGATAGAAGAAATAAATGAACAAATAAGGCGAGAGAAAGAAGAGGCAGAAGCTCGTATGCGCCAAGCAACAAAGAGTTCAGAAAAGTCAACCACTGGTGGTGGAGGGGGAAGCAAAAATTGGCCAGAAGATGATTTACAGTTGTTAATTAAAGCTGTGAACCTCTTCCCAGCAGGGACTAACTCAAGGTACTTCTCAGGTTTGGTGTTAAAAGCCCTACTAACCATTTTTAATTATTTAATAAGCATAATACAGCTTATTTTCAGACCATCCTAAGTATGATGTCAGTATAAGGACTCCCTAAATGTCCTCCTTTTCCTTGACTGTTGAGCAGCCTGTGGTTTGTCTTCTCTTAGTACCATGCTCTACGTGTCACTGGAGTTAGCTCTGGCTCTGTGTCTTGTTTCCCCCCAAACTTGGGCCTCAGTCCATCAGCAAGATTGTGCTGAGGTGCATGTTTGCACAAGGCTTACTACAGGAGAGGCTCCAGTCATTAAAGCAGGAAACAAAACCAGCACAGTGACCGTGATGCAGCTGGGTAGGAACACAAGTGTGTAAGCTACTTAAAGTGGCTCCACAACGAATGCGAGGCTAGTTTCTCCTCTACACGATAGGAGGAAAACAGCCAGAGATATGAGTTAAGTGGCCCAGCTCTCTTTAGGGGAGAGCCAGGGGAAAAGGAAAAGGCTGGGCTTCACAGAAAAGCAGCACTGGCAATCGGCTTACTCTAATAAGCTTCAAGAACAGGAGCATGCCTTAAATCCTGTTCTTTCCCAGGAGTGAAATGCCTTCTTCCACTTAGGATTCACAGATTTGAAGCCTCCATTACAAGATTTGGATGCTTACTCTTTAAAAAAAACAAGCTGTCATACTCTTTATGGAGATGATACCAGTACCTGTTTCTGCACCGCAGCCCGGCAGTCAAGAGTACTCATTGAGAACACAGGCCTAGATACGATCCTACTGTCTGATCAGGTGCAAATATTCCCCTCCGTTTTCTAAGAATGCACTAGGAATAATTTCGGGGCTAGGGTTGTTCCAGGTGTCTCCTGTTGAAGCCCCTTTACCTGATGTTTAGGTATTCTTTTTGGGGGTAGTGGAAACAGGGTTAGTAACTTCTCGGCCCTTTCAGTGCAGCCTGCGGTATTTAATGTCAGAGGTGTTTAGAGAATTCAGGAAAGCAACAGCTGAGCAGAGTTTTGAGCATTTGAGGTTTGCACTTACACACATATATTCTACCCCATCCTTCTTCTGTATCAGAAGCCAAGAAGGTCACCTAAGCTGACTGAATTCTTAAGGGAAACTTCTGCATTTAGCAACGGAAAGCTTTCCAGGATATTTACCATGACAGTTTATATGTATTTAAGTATGATTAAACTTACTTAAGAGTTGATATAAATGTGTACGGGAGCTTGAAAGTAGCTTATATGAAGATAAGCTATTATGTAATATGCTGGTTTACCCTTTCTGTTCTTGCTTTAGGTGGGAAGTTATTGCCAATTACATGAACTTGCACTCTACTACTGGAATAAAACGAACAGCAAAAGATGTCATTAATAAAGCAAAGAGCCTCCAAAAGCTTGGTATCTATATTACCTTATTTTTGTAGTAAGATGGTCTGCATGCTTCTATACAGCTTGATTTTCTTTGAACAGCATTGTGTTTCTATTATGAGAAAATGCTCTGTATATCCCCAACACAAATGTAGTTCAGATGGAAGATTTAGAGGAGCATTTATGTGACTCAGTATTTTCAGCCTAATAGCTACTGTGTAAGTCACCACCTCATGAGTGAATCTCAGGAATTCTTTTAATCTAACTTGATGCACAGATGTCTAGACCACATGCATTGCCTAGGCTCCTCTACACTCAGAGAGAGACAAACTGGCCTCTGAGCAAGCTCTCTACAAAGGAAGGCATCTAGAAAAATGAAATTGATGACGCTATAGAGATACTTCAAAAAGATGAATAGAATTCAGCAACAGACTCAGACACCTGAATTAATGTGGCTCATCTCCTCTTGTGGTAAATGGAGCCTAGAGAGCTGGCATACTGAGAGGAGGCTCTTGAGTACGTTCTTAAGGAAAACCAACATTCCAAAAAACAAAGTTTAAGAAGTTTCTCCATTCCAATACCTGCACAAGGAGGACCCAGGTTTTCCCCATGTTCCTGACTGCCCCTCTGACACGCTGGTACTCTGGGTAATTGCAAGTTTTGTGCTGCAGCCCTTACTTGAGAGAATAATCCCTTTTGATTTCAGTGAAGTTGCGGATTCAGGCTTAAGCTTACACGGAGAAAGTATTCATCTGAGCAGTATAAAGCGGGATAGGGGTTGGAGAGCCTGATACTTTAAGTTTATTGGACCATGAAAGTTTTTTTTTTTTTAATCTACCAACCTCCCTACCATCATTTTAAAGGAAGTAGGAATTTGGTTTTTTGATTATGTGATTATTAGTTTACAATAATCTGCTACGCAATGTTTTTATTATTACATCCAGTTTTAATTTTGTTGCAATAATTATTCTATTCAATGTCTGTTGCTCGTAGACCCTCATCAAAAAGATGATATAAACAAGAAAGCGTTTGACAAATTTAAAAAAGAACATGGTGTGGTGCCTCAGATGGACAGTGCTGCCCCGTCGGAACGATTTGAAGGTAAAGGTGAAAAGGGAGCCCTTCTTGCAGAGTTGTCTCCCCTGTGCACCTTAGTAAGAAAGTAATCCAGAACTTACTTAAGACTTGCTTACAAACAAACTTATATAGCAAGTAAGAAAGTGATCCAGGCTCTGTTGCTGGATTTGAGGGTTTCTGGTACACACAGTGCAAACCACAGTTAACTAAATAGTGACAGTTTGAAATAATTCCTGGTGAGGCAACAGGTTAAGTCTGATGCTGAGATTATCTGTTCCTCAGAGGGTGCTACCTTTTCAGTTAAGAGTAGGCCTGAGGGGATGCACTTGAAATACAGCATCGTCCTACAGCTAAGCTTTGGTCTCCTGTTAAATACCTCCCATCAAATTTTGCAGACACTTGCAGAAGGCTGTGTTTCTTTACTAAGTGTTCCTAACTGAAATGCAAAAGGAAAAGCTACATCGCTGCCCTAATGCTGTGGCTTCACAGGGCAGCTACAGTCATCTAACACCCAGCTGACAACGAAAGATGTTACCTTTAACTTCTCTGTACTTTATTTTAAGATCCCAGTCAGTTCCAGGGTTTGGGGTTGTTTGTTTTTTTTTTTCTTTCAGGTTTTTAATACTGGGTAGCCCTTAGGTCAAACTAGTTGTATCACAAAACTGCAAGGATTTTAAATCAACTATAACAGAATTTACAATGTTTTCTTAGGCTTATCTTATAGACTCCTTATTATTTTTTTTTCTTACTGTCATTTTTGCATTTGAAAACAGGATCACCTTTAGATTCATCCCCTTGGACTACAGAAGAACAAAAGCTTTTAGAACAAGCATTGAAGACTTATCCAGTAAATACTCCCGAAAGATGGGAGAAAATAGCAGCAGCTGTTCCAGGCCGGTCAAAAAAAGACTGCATGAAGCGATACAAGGTAAGGTACCTCACCTCCTTCTAGGATTGTAATTAGCCCAGGTCTTTGCTTTTACTGTTGGTTTCCCTACCAGAGACAGTACCTGACAACAGCAAACTAGCACAAGATGGAGCCTTAAGGAGAAACTCTTTTTTTTTTTGGTAACTCAACCCCAAAGGAGCAGTAAGGACTAAGTTTTCCTCAGTGAAAGTAGTGGCTCTGGAAGCTGGGAAGGGAAGTCTGTCTCGTGAAATCAGCCTTACAATTTGACAGCAAGCTCTTGTAGATGGTAAGGTCCCATCCCTAGCCTTTTGTACGTAAAGTTCCTGCTACAGAGGGATTAGATGAGCATTGACCTTCCATTAATTTATTTGTTTTTAAGAAATTGTTTTAAGGTATTAAACTGTCTAGATTCCTCACTATGTTGAGAGCTAGAGTGTTTCAGGCTGAATATATGTAGTGTTCAAAACCACAGCATTGTTAACAAGTTCCACATGGAGATAACTTATCTTTTTTTTTTTTTCCCCCCCAACTCTCCAGGAACTCGTTGAAATGGTCAAGGCAAAGAAAGCTGCTCAAGAACAAGTGATGAATGCTACTAAAGTCAAGAAATGACTCTTACTGACAATCTTTGTTTTATAATAAAAATGCAAATACTGTACATGTTTTCATTCTGTCCTTAATTATACAGATACACAGGAGTGGCTGGTTCTTGAGTTTTAATCTTCTCAAATGCATTTCTCCAACTCAAAAGCTTTAAACAGGGCTGTAGTTGTTTGTTGGGGGTTTGGTTTTGTTTTTTTTTTTTAAAAGCTCAAACACACTGAAAGTTCTTGTTATTCACTACTCACGAAGCCAATACATGCCACTGCAGATTTTGTTATACTCTGGAAGTTGTTCAATTGGACCTGGAAGTTAAAGAAAGTTGGCCATGACACATGCTGAACTGATACCAATTGGTGTGGAGGGGTTATCGGAGGGTAAGGAAGTTTATACAACATACCCACGGCAGCAACTGCAGGATGCTTATTGTAGATGTACTTTGTGCAAATTTCCCTAATAGTCTGGGCATCAATAGCCTAAAAGGGGTAAAGAGGCATCTTTGTTACCAATCCCATCTAAAAAAGTATTAAGAGACAGTGATCTTCTGAATTTTGTATAATCCAGGGGAAGAGGCAACAAAACAGTTAGACTATTTCCAACTAAGAAAATTGTCAACTTCTGTATTGCTACTTCCCATAGCAACTAAATTTCTGAAGGGCCTAATTTAAAAGTTGCAACGTGACTGCCACTTACTTCAATTCTTGCCTCAAGTTCTGGAATTGGGATTCGGCGCTTATAACACAGCATTTGTCTTCCAATGTCTTCACAGATTGGCGTGGATCCTAAAATAGGGGAAAATATGCTTCAGTTATCAGCATACAACTCCACTAGGAATAAAAAGCTCTCGTAAGTCTCACCATCAAGTTGTAGCAGCATATTTGTCTTTAGAAGATTTTTAGCTCGAGCTACTTCATTTTCTGTAACACTTGTGCAAAGTCTTATCCTGAAAAATAGTTTAAATCCAAAGGCATTAAAAACAGTAACTGTAGCACAGAAGATTTCCTGTGATAGAGAGGTGCATATACATTAGTACACCTACCAGGCACATCTTTTCTATAGACAGAGCTGGTAAGAGAATTTGGTATGGAAACAAGCCATAGGATGCAAAGCAGCAGCATAAGAGCAGGGTTTTTTGGAAGCATACAAATATACCTAAGAGCAAGTTTTCCCACTTAGAAGAGCTATATTTCATTTTATTAAATGAATATTTTGAGCCAAGTGTAGTCTATATTTGCTATCTGGAGAATAGCTGTTGCTAAGACAGTAGGAGCCAAACAATTAGAGGTAATTAGCCCAGAAGGCAATCCGTTACGTCCTGGCTCTTGGTGAGATAGTGATATACCACACTGCATAAGGAACATTTCACTAGGACAGGGGGATGCGTTAGATACCTTAACACGTTCTTGTCACAGGAATAGTTCATATCTTCCCTGGTGCTAAGCTGCAGCAAACAGACAGCTAAAATGATGCCATTTTTCTCCACAAGTTGTTCACAAAGATCTCATAAAATAATAGTATATGAGAAGTGATCTACGTGATTAAAGAAACTCCTCATTTTCAAGTTTTCTTTCAACTTTTGTTTCAACTTCACCCACTTTAAATCAGTGCTCTTAAATAACACGTCTGTTTCTAATCACATCTGCAGTCCAAGCATTACAGTTACACCTATGGACATCTTTTCAATTCAGATTTAAGCCTTAGATGAATTAATATTATCTAGAATCCCAGGTTTCAAAAGCTCACCTACCTTACATCATTTCATTTCCCTATGTGCTCACTAGAACTCTGTGTAGCACCGCCACCTGGTACGTCATGTGGGATAGCAACTGCAGAATGGGTAACTACTAATGTCTGTAGGTAATTGCACATTCATGATTCTCATTCATGAATATTTACTCTTCCAGTTGTCAAACATGCAGTTCATGGGCACTGCATAATGACTTAGTAGTATTCTAAAAGGTTTGATGCATTTTCATAACTCCTGTCACTTGCAAGTCAAAAAAAATCACTGCCATATTTTCTTGTACAAGGAATGCTATATATTAACTGCTATATATTAACTACAGTTACTATTTATTCTTCCAGGGCAGAAAAAAAAGATTTAAGCTTAAGCTTAAGCTATTCACTCCAAGTAAGGGTGCCAGAAACCGGCTGTTGGGACTCTGCATTGAGCGTCAAAAGTTTAGAATTTGATACATTTGTTTTTTCTAGGCAAGCCTAAGCAGAGAAACAAAAATACTCTTTAAATTATTGCTATTTTTTTAAAATTGTACTCCTCCACCGAAAACGATCTTTTTAGAGAAAGAGTTGTTAGCTTACCATTCTCTCTGAACAAAGTGCACCATGTCCTGTATAGTGGATGGCTCACAGACCATATAGAGTCCCCACAGCCCTGTATCAGTGTAGCAGGTGTTGAAGGACTGGAAACTGTGACACAGGTTACCATGGCAGGCAATCTGAGCAAGTTTACTGGATAAATTCTGCTGAGGCAAAAGAAGAAGATATTATTTTATGAAGTTTTTTGAAAGCCTACTTATTAGTCACCCCCATGGTCTCCTGTTTTCATTTCAATGACAGAACATGCAGTAGTATCACAGGCTCCAGCAGAAGCTACGAGGTTAATTATCAGCTCTTCATCTCAACAGTTTCTTTCCTTGCATGTAACCTCATGTTTCCAAGTAACAGCCCAGATTTAAGCCAAAATCATAAAGCTACTTAGGTTCAAGAAAGGGACAGTTACTGATACCCACAGGTTCTGATGACACACACGTATGAAACATCCTACTTTCCATGAGGGCTGGCAGACCTCAAGTCACCTCTATTTTGGTGGTTTAGAACCACTTCCTAATATTTTCCCAGATCTTGGGCAACAAATAATCTCAGACTCACGACTGGATCCCCTTCTCCCACTCCAAAAAAGGACCTTCAGAAATAGCCATGAAGTAGCAGTAACACCGTCAGATGATAGGTTTGAACGGGTCTGTATTGGCACTACCCAATCAGAGAGATCTCACCAGCCTCATTAAGAGCAGGAAGGTGCTTGCAGGTTCACTCACCACGCCTCCTCCAAAGGAACGATCCCAATTACCTATCAGAGTATTCGCTACCATGAGTGGGATTGTATCTGGGTGCGACCAACCAGCTGCTTCAACAGCTATCGCAATGTGTGCCAAGGGCATCTTATCATCTCTTATACGAATCTGTGGGAACATATGAAAGTAGCTGTAGTACAACCTGTGCACAGTAATGTACGTGGGAAGCTAAATATCAGGAGACAAGACGTTTCCATTACACCTGGATTATAAAGCATGCACATAGAAAACAAAAAATTGAAGTGTATAAAGCTTTATTTAACATTGGCCTTAACTAGTCTTCCCTGTGGCAATTTCGGAGCACTTAGCCAACAGCAAGCCTAACGCCACATATGTAGAGAGGACATTACAAGTCATTTTACAACAACCAGCAGCAAGGAAAGCTGACGACTTTTCAAAATCCAAATAGAGTCGGCAACAGAATGCAGATGCCTCGGTTCTCTGCCATATCCTTTAAATTAGTGATTCCCAACAAGTGGAAATGCTCCAACACCGTAGGCAAGATGGTGAAAGGAAAGTAGCAGCAGGGGTAAGGGAGGTATTCCTCCAAGAACTGATGAAGCAGAAAAAGCGGCAGCGGTGCGGCTTGTCCAAGAAAGGTTGGCAAGTCCTGCTTTGAAAGGCAGCTACTCCGTTGCACTCAGGGGTGCAAGAAACCAGGGGCAAGAAACCTTTTAATCTGCTGAGCCTGTGGCCGAGAGGCTTTCTCTTCTCAGCAGAGAGCATGTGTCAGTTGTGCTCACAGGGGATGTAAGGGCCAGCTCAAAAAGCCATCTACCAGCTTACCTCACTACCTGTGAAGGTACAAGGTGGCAGGGGTGGCAGTCCTCCTTCTGGAGCCGATGGCAAGTTACCAAAGTGGCACTTTGCTAGGTCAAGTAGCTCATCATGAGAGACCCCTGAACAAAGATATTTCACATACTTTGTAATTGTTACTCTGTAAACAATTGATTTAAATTGTTGTGCAGTTTAAAGACTCAACCAAGCAGTAACTTATTGTTCCCCCCCTTTAATGCCACACTTTCAGATTCCTCACACCTCCCTGTTATACAGAGTAAGATCATGATTATCACCCTCCTTAATTCTCTTCAACAGTCTTCCATTAATATTACACCAAATCAAGCTGTTTGTTTGCTCTCAATTTCAAGCCCCAATGTTATTTCCCTTTCTCTGCTTTCCTTGCTACTCCCCTTTTCACACTGAACCCCTTCTAGGCCCCTCTTTTCCTGCCCACATGGAAGAATGACCTGGGCCTCCAATTCACTTCTAGTTACTGGTTTAAGAATGTTTCTGGAATATTACTGAGAGGAAAAAGGAACAGAAGTTCAAAGGGTATGAAGGCACAAACGTGCAGGGCTAACCATGAACTTCCAGGACCTACTGAACAATGGGTAATTCATCATGTTGTTCCCAGAAACTTAAAGGCTATGGTTTTAAGCATAGTTTCACATGATCCAGGGTGAATCTCTCATACTAACCTCCAGCAGCAGCCAGGACCATTCTGGGTCCTTTGTAATGTGTTGTTATGTACTCCACCAAGTCATTACGGTTTATGGATCTAGAAACAGTCAAGGAAACATCACTACTGTGTCAGTAAAGTTTATTAGAGTAAGAAGAGCTAAATGTATAGAAAAATACAATATCAAAATAATTGTAAGTTCTGCCAATGCACAGAGCTCTGCATAGAGGCAGAAAGCTAAAATAAGGATGGCTTCCTAAAAAGGAAACAGGAACTTGATACATTTTGCCTTTCAAAGCTCTTCTAGCTTCCTGAGAAGGAATAAGAATTACAACTCAGTCAGGTGGAGACAGGATCCACTTATGATCTCCTGCCACTTTGAAAACAGCACATTTAGCAGTCTCCTGGTCTGCACTGGTATAAACAAATGCTGACAGAGCAGTGCAAACACAGTTGTATTTACGATAACGCCCAACACCTGACCGATGGTAAAAAGGAGCATTTCCAATTTTGTGTCAGATGCATTTTTAACAAACAGGAGAAAAATACGGCAAATAATGAAGACATGGAGTAGACATCTGAAGCTCACATACCCTTTGATGCCTGCATACAGGGCAATTAAGGCAATAGGGGAATTCCTACAGTTATATCCAGTGCAGTTTCAGCTACCTTCCAGGTAAAAATGAAAACTGACGCTGTTCCCTATGTTTTCAGAGAAGTCTCTTCAATATATAAAAGTTACCACACAATTAAAGACAGCCACAAATTTGGACATACTTGATGTTTTCAGTGGGTCCTAAAATTGTCCGTCCTAGGGCTGTCTTCTGATAGGCTGTAGCATGAAGGTAATCAAAGACAACTTCTTGTAAATTGGTTTCAACCTCTTGCATCTCTCGAAGTATAACTCCTCGCTCACGCTCAATCTCTGCTTCTCCCAGGGTACTGTTCTGTATTATGTCAGCAAGAATTTCCACAGCTAATTGAAAATAGAGATGGGAATGGAAAGCATATTTTCAGACTACCAAAAAAATCTGGTTCCAAAAGTAAAACCCACCGCAAAGACCAAGTGGCCCAAGATTTGCTAATAAGATTTGCAAGGGGACAAAAGACTTGCTCTGCAGGAAGGGGGAAGTCCAAAAGGTATTTTCTTTTGGGACTCTAAAGACAAAAATGTTTCAAATATCAACTTCCCTGCTGGCACTCTCCTTTCCAAACCTGCATTCTCACATTCCTGTGAAGTTCAAGAAAGGACTTTTCACCCGGGAAGGAAGGGACTGTTACACTGCAAAAGCACCATTCTGTGTTGTCTCATCGGGAGCTGGATAAGCACTTCGTTCTTTGCTGCTTTTCTGATGAATGAAAGCACTTACCTCTTGGTAAGTCTTTCGAAAAAGCCTTTGCGTAATACACGGTTTGTTCCCTGGATGTATACGCGTTCAGATGAGCTCCCATGTTCTCAATCTCTAGTTCAAGGTCTAACTGAGATCTCTTTTTTGTTCCCTGAAATAAAACAGTACGAAAATCAAGCTAGACCCTTTAATTCACCTACTCATCATTACTACTTCTTGTCTGGAAAAGTCAAGGTCAAGAGAAAGAAAAAGTCTTCTGGAAAGAAAACTGGCGTACTAATCTCTCCAAGCTTGAAAGTCAGATATAAATCCTACTATGCTTCCAAATGAAAATAAAAAGCTGGCAAAAGGTGGACTATGTGTTTTCTAAGACTATTACAAGAAGTTAAAAGTGAGTTAAAATTAGACCTGTGTTACTAAACTATAGTTGTGTATCACCTACACAGAACTAGGACTTTCGCTTCATTTTCTAATAGAAACCAAAGTCTAAGTTGTCCGCTTTTTTTTTCCCTCTCCTCAATCGGGAAAATGTATTTATACAATTCTGACAAAGTTCTTATCATTGATCTTTAAAGATAAATAACTTAGAAATCCATTGTAAACTTCTACATCCATACTCATACTCACCTTGAAAGCCATATGCTCAAGGAAGTGAGCAGTTCCATTGTTCTTCTCATTTTCATACCTGCTTCCAGCATCAATCCAAAGTCCAACCTCATTGGGGAAAAAAAAAAGAAGTCATTTTACCAGCTAACAATGCAGCTTTGCTGCTTTTGTGTATGAACTACACTTAGATTTTCAAGACCTATTTTTAAATGTTTTTTTCCTTAAACAAAGCAGGTTTTCAGGAAGAAGAAAATTTTGATCCTCACAAAAAATCTAATCACAAATCATTTACAAAAGCCTTATATTTCCTAGCTTAAGTTTCAAGAATAATTGTTAATAAACATTGAAAGAATACAATTTAGTTCAATATGAACAATTACAAAAAATGAACATGAACAGTTACAAAAAAATCTTTCCTTTACAAGTTACCTACTGTGCATGTTGAGAGTCCAGAGTCTTCAGAAGCTACTTGCAAGCCGTTTTCCAGGGGACTCACCCTAGTTTCAGGAACGTTTAAGATTACTTCTGTTGCTGCTTTGGAAGCTCTGAGCCTGCCTGTTCCAACATGCACACACTGTAAGGAAAAAGCATCAGTCACACTCAGATTGTTAAGTTATATCCTAGGATGCTCTTCTGAAAAATGTATTCCTGAAGTTAAACATTAAGTTTGTGGATCTTTTTTAAAACATGCATTTAAAAGGAAAAAAATCAGCACTGATTTATTCACCGCTACTTCGCATCAGGGATGCATTAACCTGACTCAGAAGAAAAACATAAAGCATGTCCAAAGAAGGGCAATGAAGCTGGTGAAGGATCTAGAGCACAAGTCTTATGAGGAGCGGCTGAGAGAATTGGGGTTGTTTAGCCTGGAAGAAAGGAGGTTGAGGAGAGACCTCATCGCTCTCTACAACTCCCTGAAAGGAGGTTGTAGCGAGGTGGGTGTCGGTCTCTTCTCCCAAGTAACAAGCGATAGGACAAGAGGAAATGGCCTCAAGTTGCACCAGGGGAGGTTTAGATTGGATATTAGGAAAGATTTCTTCACCAAAGGGGTTATCAAGCACTGGAACAGGCTGCCCAGGGAAGTGGTGGAGTGACCATCCCTGGAGGTATTGAAAAGACATGTAGATGTGGTGCTTAGGGACATGGTTTAGTGGTGGACTTGGCAGTGTTGGGTTTGCAGTTGGACTTGATGATCTTAAGGGTCTTTTTCAACCTAAACGATTCTATGATTCTATGAAATGGTCTGACAGAAAAGCATGTTACTATCATCAGCCAGCTACCCCGAGAGCCACACTTCTTTCCCAGTTCTGCCAGCGAGAGCCTGCAGGACCTTGAATATATCCTCTAACATCTGGAATTCTTTTGGGTACCTGCTTTCTAAAGTGAAGTGAGATATAGTCCGAGGGCCTATGTCCAGGACTGCAAATCACAGTCACCCATTGTTCAGAACAGGGTAGATATTGAAATTGCCACCTTTCATACAATCACCTGGCAGTTAAAGCACATTAAATCAGAATGGGGTAGAAAAGAAGGGAAGATTGAAGTTAAAAAAGTTTATTGCACTTTTTCAACATCAATAAATTTAAATATGTATCCCAAATGCGTACTTCAAGCAATAAGCTATTCCAAAAAAATTTAAATGTATCAAATAAAAAAAGATTTCCCTCACCACGTGACTGTCCTAAACAAGGAGCTCCTCCTTACACTGAGGAGCCCAAAACCAGCTGCCACGTTCTAACTGCCTGACCAGCGCAAACTAATCACTTCCATGGATCTACTGGCTGTGTTCCTGTTTGTTCAGCCCAGGCTGCTGCCAGCCTGCTCTGCTGCCAGACACACTGCTTGCTGTCCTCCTGTACCCCCAGGCCTCTTCCACAGAGCTGCCAGACAGTTCCCACCCTGGGCTGCTTCAAGGGATCATTTTCACTGCTAGTCTGCATTACAGGGAAGGAAAAACCTGGTTTTGAAAAAAAAAATCTCCCTCTCCTGTTTTTAGAAAGAAAAGCTTCGGTTTCAAACTGGGAGGATGGGGAAAAGGACAGAAGGGGAGAGCTCTGGGACCAGGGCCTCTGGGCAGCCTCCATCTAACCACGGGAGAGAAGGAGGGTTTACGCTTTCTCCGAGCTCCCCGGGGTAAGCACGGCAGGCCGTGGCGGGCCGGAGGGCGGTGGCGGCCCCCCCTCAAGGACCGCG